AAACAACTGGGACAAAAAAACTGCATCCTATGTGTAAATGTATAGCTTTGTGAACAGATCTTGAACTATATGTGAAAATAATCATAATACATATATATAAGTATTATCGAAATAAAAAAAACCATTACAAATGCCTCAATTTCTTCATCAACCAGGTCAATGAAGCCTTCAGGCTTTGGAACAGTTTCAAATCCATGCTTCTTTACGCTCCAGCATCTGTTTGACAGCCATGTATGATTATAATCAAGCCCTGATGACACTTGACCAATGGTCAGTAAACCTTAGGATTTAACCAATCCCATTCCTTAAGAATATTTTTTTCTTTTATCAGATAAGTTTACGAGGAGTAGATTATATGAGGGTTTCATGAGCTAGTCCAAATTTTGTAATCTTTTTTGCTTGTCACCTTTTCCTGATGTATGCATGTCCAAGACACATGTGAACATCTCCTACAATGAACAGACTTCTTGGACCTGCAAAAGCTTACCAAGGAAAATGCCTCTGGCAAAAATTCTGTTAATGGTTAAAGGTATTGAAAAGACAGGGACAAGAGGACGACCTAATTACACACTAGTCCAACCTCTAATAGTACAAGCTAAGAGGGGTCATTGTTCGTGGCTTCCTCACAAGCAGAGACAACAAGTTGAACAAGCCAAGAGAGGTCACACTGTTAAGTAAAACTCCACAAGAAGGCTGAGTGTGTGGTCTGTTTAATTGGACTCAAGAGCAGAAATTATCACTTGTTACAGATCCTTAAAGATCTATAACTAAGATCTTTACAAACGAGCTGATCACCTCTTACACCAGCCATTGGGATTGCTGCGGCCTGTGAAACATGAAGAAGTCAGATCTAATTCAGCTCTTGTTATAGATATACAAGTATTTACTGAGATCACACATACCCCATACATGTTAAGTATGTCATACAGGTGACACACTGTACAAATAAAGTCCTTTCTTTATTCAGTCTCACCTTGTAGATCTTATCCAAACTTCTTTGTCCTCCGTTAGTGTCTCCATATACGAAGCTTTAGTGATTTTCTATACCAATCCACCTGTTTAACATCACTAACTAGAAATATCAAAATAAACTTGATCACAATAATATTCCAACACAAGGGTTTCACATTCAGTATTTAGAATGTATGATAATTCATCCCTGTTAAAACAGCTTGATAGGCATTTTTCTGATCGCCCTGAAGGTGACCACACTCGTTGTGAGGCGTTTAAACATCCATACTAACGGTGTCGTGGGACTGTTGTTAAAACTGCACTCAGACACACTGATGAGGTGCTACAGGTTATACTCAAGGTAGAGTTCGATCATTCATAAAACCTGTACCAGGTACAGCATAATTCCTTTCTAAAGGTCAAGGTCACAAATTCGCTCATTCAATTGGATGGATAAGATCTAGCTATTTATATAGTAGTCATCTGTGACCGACTTAAAGGCCACTGCATAAATACCGAGAGACACCTACACACATTCTTAAGAAATAACAAGAGCATTTTTCAGTCGTGTGATGATGATTTTGTTCAGAAGTGTGTAATAATATCTAACCTTCACCTGTTTAAGGTAAAGTTGATGAATGCTTTATACGTACCAGCAAATTGTTGGTGGTATGCTGGAACCTCAAATGACACATCCACAGGCTGGACTGTAGCAACAGTACATTATTTTTCTCACAGATTTTACCATAAATACATACAGGCTTAAGAAACACACCAAATCTGCCCTTAAGTGGTTATCATGTTAAATTACAATTTATGTGAATTTGTCATGCATGCAGATATAGCAAAAACTAGAAATTAGCCAAAACAAACTAAGACCTAGAGCAGTCCTGACTCTCAAAGGGTTGGCTAGCTAAGCATTGCCATAGCTTGCTCACAGACAAGAAATTATGTAAGTAGAGTAGTAATCTTAAAAGAACAAATAAAACCTACAAATAAATACACGTAAGATTAAGATATTGCTAGATTTATAGATGATCCTATATCAGTTTCATAAATCTCATATGAAATGGTTACTCGTGTTAGATTCTGTTTAACACATAACAAAATACCATACTTTTGTAAAAAATTTGTGAAACCAGCATTCCATTAGACCGATACAAAATTTAAACTGACAATATGCTTATTCTTGGTACCATTATAATGACAGAATTAAATTGATTGAAACCTCCATCCTACAATATCACAGCAACAGCTTCACTAGGTCCTATTGTATATGGGTAATAATGAAAAAATACTTTATGCATTGTTACACTGAAAACTGGGCCATAACGATAAACATGCCATGAATTTCCCACTGTTAATATATACTGTACAGCTGGTTACTTTCACTAGGATGATATTTCATTTTACAGTGCATTCATGTAAAACTGTATATTCATGTAACTGCAATATTTTAATCCATGAAATACGAGTTATACTTTTTACATGATTATCTACTTACAGCCAAACTGACATACAAGAATAAGACAAATCTGTGACCTTAAGTTTCTCTTTGTTAACTTGGACAACTGTGACCTTAGGTTTCTCTTTGTTAACTTGGACCACTGTGACCTTAGGTTTCTCTCTGTTAACTTGGACCACTGTGAACTTAGGTTTCTCCTGGTTATAATTTGAACCACTGTGACCTTAGGTTTCTCCTTGTTAACTTGGACCACTGTGACCTTAGGTTTCTCTTTGTTAACTTGGACCACTGTGAACTTAGGTTTCTCCTGGTTATAATTTGAACCACTGTGACCTTAGGTTTCTCTTTGTTAACTTGGACCACTGTGACCTTAGGTTTCTCCTTGTTAACTTGGACCACTGTGACCTTAGGTTTCTCTTTGTTAACTTGGACCACTGTGACCTTAGGTTTCTCCTTGTTAACATGGACCACTGTGACCTTAGGTTTCTCCTTGTTAACATGGACCACTGTGACCTTAGGTTTCTCCTTGTTAACTTGGACCACTGTGACCTTAGGTTTCTCCTTGTTAACTTGGACCACTGTGACCTTAGGTTTCTCCTTGTTAACTTGGACCACTGTGACCTTAGGTTTCTCCTTGTTAACTTGGACCACTGTGACCTTAGGTTTCTCTTTGTTAACTTGGACCACTGTGACCTTAGGTTTCTCTTTGTTAACTTGGACCACTGTGAACTTAGGTTTCTCCTGGTTATAATTTGAACTACTGTGACCTTAGGTTTCTCTTTGTTAACTTGGACCACTGTGACCTTAGGTTTCTCTTTGTTAACTTGGACCACTGTGAACTTAGGTTTCTCTTTGTTAACTTGGACCACTGTGACCTTAGGTTTCTCCTTGTTAACTTGGACCACTGTGACCTTAGGTTTCTCTTTGTTAACTTGGACCACTGTGACCTTAGGTTTCTCTTTGTTAACTTGGACCACTGTGACCTTAGGTTTCTCCTTGTTAACTTGGACCACTGTGAACTTAGGTTTCTCCTTGTTAACTTGGACCACTGTGACCTTAGGTTTCTCCTTGTTAACTTGAACCACTGTGACCTTAGGTTTATCCTGGTTATAAATTGAACCACTGTGACCTTAGGTTTCTCCTGGTTATAATTTGAACCACTGTGACCTTAGGTTTCTCTTTGTTAACTTGGACCACTGTGACCTTAGGTTTCTCTTTGTTAACTTGGACCACTGTGACCTTAGGTTTCTCTTTGTTAACTTGGACCACTGTGACCTTAGGTTTCTCCTGGTTATAATTTGAACCACTGTGACCTTAGGTTTCTCCTGGTTATAATTTGAACCACTGTGACCTTAGGTTTCTCCTGGTTATAATTTGAACCACTGTGACCTTAGGTTTCTCCTGGTTATAATTTGAACCACTGTGACCTTAGGTTTCTCCTGGTTATAATTTGAACCACTGTGACCTTAGGTTTCTCCTGGTTATAATTTGAACTACTGTGACCTTAGGTTTCTCTTTGTTAACTTGGACCACTGTGACCTTAGGTTTCTCCTGGTTATAATTTTAACAACTGTGACCTTAGGTTTCTCCTGGTTATAATTTGAACCACTGTGACCTTAGGTTTTCCCTATTGGCACATTCAGACAAAGATACCCCTTTAATATTTTAATAACAATGTTTTTGTATAGATCTAAAGGTAGAATTCCACTATTGAGGCAAACCTGGTTGACATGGTTGCCATTTTTATTAAGATGAAGACATTTTGTTTCTATTTTAAGATTGCCTGTATAAAGTTAGCTAGACGACTGCTCCTACACAGCAGATTCTCAGCATAATCAAGATGATGAATGGCCGTCGATAACAAATGTGAGAAGGTTACATGAGATGTATTTGTTCAGTACATATGTATACACCTGTGCTAAATCCAGGTACATTTTGCCTGCATCATACGACAAATTCCTTGTACAGAAGCCTGCCGGTGGCTACGTTTTGACACGTCTGTGAGCGATGGCATTGACATGTACACAAAAAAGTAACACCTCAGTACAAGTATGTTACACCAAACATACTTCATCCCTAAAATAGGAACAAAACAGGTATGTCATGGAGTTCAAACAAATCTAGTGTAACCTATCAACATTCTGTTTCAACAAATAAAATTAGCATCACCATTTACATTATTACTGCAAAAATCAGGGAATCCAGGGTTAATGAAAGTCACAATTTTGCCAAAACCCACTGGGACCTTTACATCCATGGAATATTTTTGATTATGCAATATCTTTGTCTTCAGAAGATTTTTTAAATCATAAACATTATCTTCCTGTTTTGGTCCTGCCCTTCAGACTCCTGCGTTTATATCATACATACTTTTAGTTGATTATTAGTCATGGAACCTTTAAATCTCTGTAAAATTTTATTGAAATCACTGAAGCAGCATTCCAAAAAGCCAGAGATGTGAAATTGTTTGTAAATAACACTGAACAACATAAAAAGATGGGTCGTCAAAAGGAACTAGAAAACATCTATAAGTAAGACAAACTAAATCTCTATCATTGTTTAAAATATCAATTTAAATAATAATATGGGTAAATTATAATGTGATTCAGGAAATCTGAAACCGAAATTCACCTCAGTACATTCTCCTACAAGATCTGGTCATGAAACAAAAGTCAGGATGTTACAAACATTGAATGAGTTGATAATTTTCCGTTCCATGGTGGCTTTGACCTTAGTCTTGGAATCCTGAGTCTTTGTTCAACTCGAACCTCTTTTCTTCAATATCTGTACATCTTCATGTAATAATAACATCTCTACCATCCCATGTCCAGAAGTAAATGGTTTATCAGTCATAGATGTAAATAAGTATTGACTTGTTTACAACTAAAGACCTAGGATCTGGTTAGCTATAAATAGATCACAGACAATACTGTACATGTCTCTAATATCCAATAGCAGGTACCATATCAACACAAACATGTTTTTCATAAGTATGTTTTTCGCTACAGAAAAAACTACAGAAAAACACAAACACTACATAAATGTTTTTAAGAACCATTTCACTACTGTACTTTGCTTTTATGGCAGTTAATCCTAAAAATAGCTCTGCCTAATATGGTTAAAATTACAATACATATTATGTCTACATACTGTTGTAGTGGGATGGTGGAAGGTGTACCAGTGTCCTTAAGTCTGTGAAGTTGTTACTCGAGACCTCAGTCGGGCTACACTGGTATACATAATGTCAACGCATGTAAAACCAAGGATTGGCGACATCACGAATGCCATAAATAGCCATGACAAAATATTACTGATAGTAAATTTAGCTCTGTAGGAGAGTGACAACACTTCATGAACTGTTACCATATATTAGTTGGTTCACCTGACAATGTCAACCCCCTGATCACAATGTGTCTATAATAAAATCTGCTGCACAACTTAAGTCAGCTACCTAGATAAATTTACTGTACATGATGTCTGGTACATATTACACATTGTTATGTCATTATGACTTATACTGGTAATTCCATACAAAAATCCATCAACACTATTAAAATAAGAACCATTGTTCCTATATCCTGGCATTTCTCCCAAAAGAAACACGATTATATATATAATACAAAACACTAACAAAGTGGCTCAAGGGCACTTCCCACTTTTCACATACTAAAATTACACACTTTACTTTCCACTCCCATAAAAGCTTCCTTTTTATTGCATGTTGGAAACTGGTGAGTTTTTCCCATTTTTTTTTTTTAAACATTTTCTGCTAATTCAAATTTGAAACAAGTGCTGGCTGCTACAAATTGCCAATAGCTTCCAAACTTAATCCTAAGATCACAAGGGGATTTTGACCCCTACATCAGTGAATGTGTTCTTAATAAGCTCTTCATTGTTAGATCTTTTCTCTTCCTCCCCCTCCTCTCTCTCTCTTCTTTCTCCCAAAATCAAATAAATAACGAGTGACAAAGGGGAACCTACATTACATATGAAGTCTCTAAAATGATCCATCCCGCACATCAAGAAATATAGCAATAACTATCTATAATTTACTGTCAAAATCCAAGATGGCTGCCTTTCAGCCATTCTGTTTTCCCAATCAATCCAAAAATTAAATATGCACAAGTAGGGGCCAAGGTTAACCTACACATAAAATTCAAGAATGATCTTTTCAAACTTCTTCAACAACATCTATAAATACTGATAACAAGTAATAGCTCCCATTAAAAGACGGCCACTTTTCAGGTCTTATTTTTTCCCATTTTTTTCAGTCCTAAAATGAACCTTGCGTAAATAGGTTAACAAAAGAAACAACTTCTGAATTACCAGAACAATTTATCTAGAATTCCTCAAGAAACATTGAAAAAATAACTAGATCTGTCAGAATAACAATATCCACCTATATTAGCCTTTTTTTTAGTCCCAAAGGGACAGACAATAGCTTCAATGGACCACGAATGGTATGCACTCATTTGGCATGACTACCAAGCACTTTTTTTAAACTCCTACAATCAAAGCAACTTCAAAGCTGATTTCACACTTTCTTTTGGGGCACATTCAAAGTTCTTAAAGTAATTACCAGAGTACAAATTAAATGTGAAACAAACATTTTGCTATAAAGGTTCTTCAGTTTCACATGTAAACTCCAGATTTTTGGGTGTATATTGGTTTGCTACAATACAAACATCTGAATTCATCTATCACACCATCTATATATATGTACATATATGTGTATATATATGTAGATGAAATTCAAAGATCTATCAAATAAATATAACAACAGAACTTAAAAAAACATCAAATATACATTGTATGTTTTTTTCAACAAACAGTAAAATTGAGAGAAAGCAGAATATTTCAATATAGTATTGTATGACTATATATGACTATAGTTGACAACATACATACTACATTTCATATGCTTTTGATCATAATTTATGTATTCATGCTCTCCTGCCATATAGAAATCTGAAAAACTGCCAAACAATTGCATTATTGGACATGTACAAGAAACATGTTTGCTGTTTGCAATACATACAGTTGTAGATAAGTATGGACCCTCATTACTAGATGCAGGAGACACCTGTGGACCCTCAGTAACAGATGTAGGAGACACTTGTTGACCCTCAGTACCAGATGTAGGAGATACTTGTGGACCCTCAGTACCAGATGAAGGAGACACTTGTGGACCCTCAGTACCAGATGTAGGAGACACTTGTGGACCCTCAGTACCAGATGTAGGAGACACTTGTGGACCCTCAGTACCTGATGTAGGAGACACCTGTGGACCCTCAGTACTAGATGTAGGAGATACTTGTGGACCTTCAGTACCAGATTTAGGAGACACTTCAGTACCAGGCGTATGTGGGCCCTTGGTACTAGGCGTAGGAGACACCTGTGGGCCCTCAGTACCAGATGTGGACCCTCAGTACTAGATGTAGGACACTTGTGGACCCTCAGATGTAGGACACTTGTGGACACTCAGTACTAGATGTAGGAGACACTGTAGGAGACACCTGTGGACCCTCAGTACCAGATGTAGGAGACACCTGTGGACCCTCAGTACCTAATGTAGGAGACACCTGTGTACCCTCAGTCCTAGATGTAGGAGATACTTGTGGACCCTCAGTACCAGATGTAGGAGACACTTGTGGACCCTCAGTACCAGATGTAGGACACCTGTGGACCCTCAGTACCAGATGTAGGAGACACTTGTGGACCCTCAGTAATAGATGTAGGAGACACTTGTGGACCCTCAGTACTAGATGTAGGAGATACTTGTGGACCCTCAGTACCAGATGTGGACCCTCAGTAGGTAGACACCTGTGGACCCTCAGTACCCTCGGTACTTGGCCCCAGTACTTGAGTAGACACCTGTGGGCCCTCGGTATTAGTCGTAGGAGACACCTGTGGACCCTCAGTACTAGATGTAGGAGATACTTGTGGATCTCAGTACCTGATGTAGGAGACACTTGTGGACCCTCGGTACCAGGCGTAGGAGACACCTGTGGGCCCTTGGTACTAGGCGTAGGAGACACCTGTGGGCCCTCGGTACTAGTCGTAGGAGACACCTGTGGACCCTCAGTACTAGATGTAGGAGATACTTGTGGACCCTCGGTACTAGATGTAGGAGACACTTGTGGACCCTCAGTACCAGATGTAGGAGACACTTGTGGACCCTCAATACCAGATGTAGGAGACACTTGTGGACCCTCAGTACCAGATGTAGGAGACACCTGTGGACCCTCAGCACTAGATGTAGGAGATACTAATGGACCCTCAGAACAAGATGTAGGAGACACCTGTGGACCCTCAGTACCAGATGTAGGAGACACTTATGGACCCTCAGTACTAGATGTAGGAGATACTTGTGGACCCTCAGTACTAGATGTAGGAGACACCTGTGAACCCTCAGTACTAGATTTAGGAAACACTTATGGACCCTCAGTACCAGATGTAGGAGACACCTGTGGACCCTCAGTACCAGATGAAGGAGACACCTGTGGACCCTCAGTACCAGATGAAGAAAATACTTGTGGACCCACAGTACCTGGTGTAGGAGATACTTGTGGACCCAAGGTACCAGATGTAGGAAACACTTATGGACCCTCAGTACCAGATGTAGGAGACACCTGTGGACCCTCAGTACCAGATGTAGGAAACACTTGTGGACCCACAGTACCTGGTGTAGGAGATACTTGTGGACCCTAGGTACCAGATGTAGGAGACACTTGTGGACCCTCGCTACCAGGCATAGGAGACACTTGTGAACCCTCAGTACTAGATGTAGGAGACACCTGTGGACCCTCAGTACCAGATGTAGGAGACACCTGTGGGCCCTCCGTACCAGAAGAACTGTATGTATAGACTGTCATATACAGTCATAATTTGGATTCACAAGTGAAGAATATGTGTTTTCAACCTATAGTTATGTCCAATAACAAGGCTTGCTGTAAATGTCTATATGCATGTATAAACATCGACACAAACTACTCCCATGTTTACCATTTGACATTGTGGACAGAAATAACTTCCACCTACTCCATCCTGATAGTCTGCAACAACAGAGATTAGATTGTGAGGAAGACAAACTTGGCTAATTGTTTGTTGTTCCTACAGACCATGGATTACAAACCAGCCCACCTTCGCAATACCAGTATCATCATACACTTTTCATTTTGACTTTATCATGATAATTGACAATTCAACAGAGAAGTATTTCTTAAGTGATAAACTGATAAAAATAATAAGAATGGAAAGTAACAATATATCTCCATATTTTGGGATTGGAAAGTAAATTTATGCATGATTTGCATTCTATTCAGAAACAAATTGAATTTCCGCTCCAAATACATATACCCGGAAGACAATAAGCCTGAAATACATATATATCAACAGTAGAATTAGGTCTATTGTGCTGTTTCTCTTCAACCAATCAATACACCACTTATCTTAATTAGTATCATTGATCCAACGTATGTACCAAAACACCACACCTGTCAGCATGTTACAGGTGCTGCTAATAGGTAAATGACTATGTATCATACCAACAAAGGGATAGGTTATTTTACAGGTAATTACTAAAAATAAAGGTGTTGTTTACAGGCATCTACTATCAACACAGAAATTATTTACAGGTAATTACTATCAACACAACTACTGTTAAACAAGTAACCAAATTATATTCAGTTATAAGGCAAAGTACATAACACCTGGCAATTCCAAAATTTTGATGGGTCCTAATACAGGGTCTAAAAAATTGAGTAAATATTGATCAAATGACCAATTCATTTTCACATTCTTAAAGTTTATAGTGCACTGGACAAGATTCCTGGTCCATCCTTTCCATGAAAACAACTGTGATCTGTTTCATGGTCTCCATCATAGCCCCAAACAACTGGTACTTGACCTTGTAAAGTGTTATCAGATGCAGTATAAAAGGAGTGTGTGATTGTATGTTACATAATTGATCTGACAATTGCTATAGACAATCACAGTACACATCAATTATCCCATCTGACCTATATATCAGCACCATAATGCTTTAACTGCTTAACAACAACAGTAGTACTTATAAACAAGAGCATTCCTATACAGAACACATTATGTATTTCAATCTCCTCGGCTGATGTACATGTACAGTCTGTGGTACCACCAGCAAACAAAATCGTTGCATTATTCTTCCTTTGTTGAACATATCTCTTCACAAAAATAAGCAGAGAAAAAACTCCAAGAACGAACATGAAATTAAAATCTGATGTATCATGTAGGCTATACTGTCGGAGCTTCAGGAGATCGATAACTTATGGTAAAATGTATGGAGAGGCCTCTAATAACTAAAAAAGAAAATTTAAACCATGACAGACTGTTTTTTTCTTATCTCTTCATACAGTACAAGAATTACATACAATCTCCAATCCCACAGTTTACATAAATTTCCTTCCCACGAGTTCTACAGACTTACAACATTACTGGTGTCAATAAAATTTACTTTTTCTTACAAAACTACATCTGGCATTTTAAACAAGAATTTTGTGTAATGTTCAATTCAATGACACAATAAATTTATCATCATAATTTGTTAAACTTGCTCTTTTGTTCAAGTACGAAAAGGACAAATTTCCCTTTTTTCATGAGTGGTATTTCCATTGGTATACACACATCACACGTGCGCTGTCATGATCAGCTTGTAGCGTATTCTAGAAGGAGATATTGGAGCCACAAAACAACTGTTTGTCCTCTAGGTGTCTTTCAAACCACCGCTGTGGTAACTGTGTGTAGAGCTCTGTATACATACACCGTGTGTATATCTACTTCAGTAAGTTACAAAAATACATCATCAACAGAACAAATTACACATAATATTCACTTCTACCTATCATGACCTAAAAAAATTCTTTCACCTACATGAAGACTGATCAAGACTGTGTTGATTATTAAAATCATCTTAACCCTGACCAAAATCCCAAAGAAATGGAGGACACAGACCAATCACATTGACAACAGATTTTGTATATCAGTCTATCAAGTCCCTGATATACCTGTACAAAGATAATTAATTCATTATTTCGTTTTATCATTTTTTTTAAAAATAATTAATTCATTTTTTGTTTCATCATTTTTGTAATGCTAAGTATTGTTTAGTAAATCTGTTTGACACAGATAAGTAGTATATCAAAACCTTGTTTTGTAGCTTTCAGAATATGATGCAACAGGTATTACAAATATTGCAAAAACCGACAGCTGTAAGAGTTAGTGGTTATGTAACCATCTACTATCACATGTGCATGTCTGTCTATTCCAAAAGGATTTCTGGTATTTCCCAAAGCACCAATTGCATATGGGTATACTCTGTAAGGCTATCATCAACTGGCTGCAGATAGATCGTTATACATTGAACCTGATACTATTTTGTAGTTATGTCTAGCAGCGAACCAAATCTTACACCTTATGCATTTTTTCTATGTACATAAAACCATATCATCAATATGATTATTGTTAACAAAAGAAAATATTCATTGATTGTGACCTATTGACATTTCCAAACATCCCTCTCAGACAATGCTTAATTCTGTGTTATTTGCCAAGTAGGTCTTTTGTTTTTCAGTTGTTACAGCCTTTCTTCAACAGAAAAACATCAATTAATTTTTAAATTGTAAGTTAAAATACCATGAAAATCACATCCATTATTTGGAAAGATTCATAAGGACCCAAAACACCTTCTGGCATATCCTAGAATTTACAGAAAAAAGATCTGCCAAAAAATGAGGCAAGGGTAACAGAAATCAATTTGTCAATCCTTTAAGGCAAAATGAATTAGGCAACTTAAGTGGGTTTCCAAAGTCTGAACAATCGTGGATATAATAGTATTTTCAACAGTATATAAGAATATACTACTATAATTGTTCCTGTTGTTGTGCTCAGCTATTTCTAAATACAGACAAATAAGGTTTGTTAATAATCCACGGATCCAACCTCAAATATCAGTGTAAGATAACTCAGGCTGGCCACTAGTTATGTCTAGATAGATGGACCAAAGTTGTTGAAAGTCTTTGGTCTGTCTCCCTGGTCCTTTTTATATTTATTTTATATCACTCACCACTCACTGTCAGAATATATGGACCTATGAAGTAGAAATGTGGAGGAGGAGGATTTAGCTAGAGTTTGAGGAGAGGGATATTGTTTGGATAAGTAGAGGGCAATATAGGTGGGACTATTCTCTAACAATCTATTTCTGGTAAAGCATAGTGTCCTGCATGGTTTAAAAACGACTCTTAAATACTCTGTCTGAACATAGCGTACATGCAATTATATGGTGATGAAAGAAACCAGATACTGTTGACTTCAAGTTACTTTCGTTTTAAAGACGGACTGACTATGAACTCGTCTCCAGTATTATGATCAAATGGAGTACCAAGTCTCTACAGTATTTGTACATGTACCGGTACATTAATTATCACTTTCTGGCAAACACATAGATGGTATAACTAATGTACCTGGTGCCAGAGAAGTATTTTTCTTCCATGAGAAAACATTAAAGCTAGGTAAAAAAAATCATCCCAAAGTAGTGTTAGACTGTAAAACTACAAGCATAACTAGGGGTTATTACTCCAGTACATATCCTTCACTGAGCTGATAAGTAGTTAAAGTGTACCCTGAGAGTAATTTTATATTTAGATATAATGTTAAGAATGCTGTAAATATAATAATAATGAAAACCCTGTCAAAATCCATCGCCCCAGTGTCGAGTTATTAAAGCTCAAAGTTGTCAATTTTCACCTGTCCGCCCAGACCTAATCAGCCGAATCGTCATTTCCGCGGAATCGAGGCTCTTCTACTCGTGACGTCATAAGTTCAACAGAAATGGCAGTCAACATGACTGACAGTGACAACGACACCGCAACTGAGAGCAATTTGAGCATGAGTTTTGAGGAGTTTGATTATGGTGTGAATGATATGTCTGAAGACGGAATCCAGCCCTACCGATTTGAACTGGAATTACAAGACGATGTATCCAGTGAGGAGGAAAATGACCCTTTGAAAAGTGACAATCGCTTGGGCAACATAGATTGGCATGTACTTCACTGGGTCTCACCAGTAGTCGTGAAAGTAGTCGAACAGTGAATCATCGTTTCAAAGAAACAAAATAAAATTGGGTGTGGTTTTGGACTAATTTTATCTTCAAGTCTCGATCAACAATTTCTGACGTCTGGAAATCACGTTTGTGCAAGACTATGCATACATTCACGAGTTGTCGGGAATTTTCTTACCGAAGAAGTTTCATCCGAGGGGAATTTTTCTTTCCAGGGAATTTTCGTAGCACTATGGATATATATAGATAGGGTGTCAACAACCAATTATAACACCCTCCACTGTGTTAATAATAAAAATTTGATGTTTTAGAAGTTTAAACAATTATTTGACTGGTTTTTACCCTAGCACTGGTACGCGTCTGTTGTTAGCCAACAGGCGTGTCGCCTCACAGGTGTCACAATTGTTTTTTCCAGCTACAGAAGTGCTAATTACCTAACCTGGCACAGGTGTGATTATGAGTTTAGATGACATCTCTACACTGTGAACTGTGTTTTCAAATCAAGATTGGTGATCTTATTGTTATTTTTACGATCGCAAAATTAATAACTAAACAACATCGTCTGCTGGAAGATCTAAAAACCAAATACACCTTATACAAACAACATACACACATAACC